TATATATATATATCTATCTAGATATATATAGATATTGCAGATCTAAAGTTGATTCATTTGATATTTTCCCTAGCAAATTATTACATGATTATTATATGCATTGAAGACACATTTTAATCATAGTTTACAAATATTTCAATCCATTAAAAATTACTAATAGTTATTACAACAGATTGATCTGTCATTTTAAATTGAGACTGATAAAAAGAATAATATTTGAATAATGTCATAAATTATATGAATTCAAATTGCAACTCTTTGATTGCAACAAAATTTTGAAGTATTATACATCTCTTACTATTTGGAAAAATTCAAAGAACTATTAAGTTAAAAAACATCTTACACATCTAAATCTTTAATCTTCTAAAAATTTGTATTTTTCATATCAATTAATCATGTATTTGCTATTAAAAATTCATGAAAAAATAGTCATTTTAATTTGGAATTATAGGACACACAGAATATAAATCTAACTAGCAGGTAAACGAAGTAGTTTTTAACTAACAATAACAATAAACAAATGTAAAAAGAATATGCTCTTCTTACATAGTTTAAAGTAAAAATTATGGAAGATTTTCATCTCAATATGGTACGTTTGAAAACAGGTACGATACAGATTCACCATTATGTGTCCGCCTCACTGCTTCGGCAAACATCATCGAGACATCAATACACTAAAAAATAAAAGATAATCCTCTGTATCACGATTAAATCTGTATAACACCATTGTTATTGCATTTCAGCATTGTTAAGCATTTCATGTCAGTTTCTCTAATGTAAGAAATATATTTACCTGAATCTTTGGGCAATCTTTCATGTGACCATCTTGAGGGATAGTATTGGTCACTACCACAGCCTCGAAGCAAGCATTGTTAATTCTACTAATTGCTGGCCCACTGAAGATGCCATGTGTAAGTATCGCATAAACTTTCGTGGCACCAGCTTCCAACAGCTTTTCTGCTGCATGACAGATGGTACCACAAGTGTCAGCCATATCGTCTACAAGGATAGCAACTCTGTCTTTAACATCACCAACCAATACCATACTGGCGACTTCATTCGCTTTCTTCCTTTCTTTATGTATGAGCGCAAATTCGACATTTAATCGGTCTGCGATAGATGTAACTCTGTAAAGTAAAAATAAAGTAAAAGATGATGTATTTCTTCAACTGAAATTTCTTTATTATTATTACTATTAAATATTCACCTTTTGGCACCACCAGCGTCAGGGGAGACAATGATACTATTTCGCCATTCAACGATATTCTCTTTAATCCATTTGAGGACAGCAGGTTCGGCAAATAAGTTGTCTACTGGGATGTCGAAAAATCCTTGTATTTGACTAGCATGCAAGTCCATTGTGATAATGTGATCAGCACCAGCCACGGAAAGCATATTTGCTACTAGTTTTGCGGAGATTGGCGCACGGCTCTGTAAAATACATTTTGATAGATTAGTTTTAAGAATTTGTACGAGTCCTTCAAGTCCATTTGCAACTGGAAATATCCTGTAATTTAAAGAAATTGCTATTAAAAAGTCCCTTAAAAACATGAAAACATTTAAGAAATAAGAAAAAATTACCTTTTAAACTAAATAAAAATTTTTTAAAATATGTTAATTTATATCACGGCTGTATCGGCTTTTAGAAGATACAACATAGTTTATCAAATATCAGAGATGATTGCCAAAAAAGACTTTTTTCAGAGGGGACAAAATATGAATATAATGATTATGTACTAAAATATTACTCTTCAGTAAGTATAAATATATTCATAAAATACAGGGAAACAACGTTGCAAATGCACCCCAGTTAGACTCTCTCAACAATTATCATAAGTAAAGCAAAATATCTAACATTATGAACGCAAAACAGAACACAATGCATCTCGGTCCTTTGCCCTTATGTAGCAAAGGATAATTTGAGATGAATAAGAGGGCAAACATTGATAACAGATATGTAATACATAGATAAGTTCACAAATATAAAGATATACTCTAAAAAACAAATCAAGTCAATATCGCGATTCTGTATTTCTAATATTATATCTGCAAAATTACATATAAAAAGGAATTTACAGTTTGCAAATTAAAATTTATCTGTATTAGTACATTATCCTTGGTATGGAGAGATGCATTGTGCAAAAATGGATGGAATATTTTTAGTAAAATGTAGTACTTGTGTAATGAGTATATAAGATTTTATAAAAGCTATTAATAATAGTTTTAAAGTATGTACTATCAACAATTATTATATTGACAAGACGAGTTATCACCAAGATAACACATTGACATTCCTATGCTATTTAAGCATTAATAGGATAGGCAATATTTGATTAGTACACTTGGACAATAACACTGATTTAAGCTTCAATTAGTACCCAATGAAACATATACATGTGCGTACCCCACTATACTAATGTAATTGCCAACAACGTACTGCTATTATATTAATATTTTGCCCTCTCATTCGGATATCAATATATGCTTTGATCAAATGTCTCATTCATTCATTCACTCATGGGGATACCACTTATGTTTGTATAGCAACGATATTATAAGTTTGGTTAGTCCTACAGAGAAAATTCTTGTTTGAATTCAAAAATAATATTACAAATCTCTCGAATGGTTCATCGAGTTATCAAACGAGTTACAAACGCTGCACTCGACAATCTCGTTGCTATTATACTCACTGTAGACAGGTCAGGCGGAATATCCTGAAAATACCCAACTAGTCAGAAACTTAAACAAATATAATAACTTTTTCCTAGCAAATATTATAATCAATAATAATTTTTCTGATATCTTTTCATTTTCAATAGGTAATCTAAAGATATAAAGGACATTTGATATGACTGATAACTATTTAAGAAGGTGATATATTCAGAATTTTTAATCTTATATATATTGTTTTATTGTATTTTCATGCAGTCCCCAATTAATATTAAAAAGCGCTCATTTTTGTTGTGAACATATAAAAATATAATTAGTAAATAAATATTAGTATCTATTAAACTTTTAAAATAAATACAAAATAACAAAAGAATGTAAGAAATATTATTCAGAATATAGTAAATATATATTTAATGAAAAAATTAATAAAATAAAGTATATCAGAAATTAGTTAATGTAATTATTATTGCCGTGGCAACAAAAATGTGCAAAAGACCTCCCTTGGAGAAATCTAGCACGAGTTTTGCAACAACCATTTAGGTTATCTAACTTTTGATAACCCTACATCATTGTAAATAACATGCTTGAAATGCATTTGCAGTGCTTAAAAATTCTAAAATATTTACTATTTGTTTTGTTACAAACATTACGTCAAATGATAAAATGTAATATATGAAAATAATAATTTTATGTGATATTATAATTATCTATAGTCTTATCTATATTTCAAGATGATACGCATGTATTGATATTAAAAGCAATGAATGTTCAAAATGAAGTTTTAATATGACTAGTGAATAAACCTGATTGAATAACGTAACTTGTACAGCTTAACTCATGTTCGATTTTTTACAAGATTTAAATAGAATAATTTACTTATAATATAAATGATATATATATAATCACTTATAGTTATGATATGAGTTACAAGTAAAAAATTACAAGTTTCATTTATAATTCATGCATTGCTTGCATATTAATTATATTATCCATATATAATTAATAATATATTTCCCTTGTATACTTCAACTATGTGTTAGTTTCACCATTTGCTTCACATATATAATATTTAAAATATAATATTTAAAAAAGGTACT